AACAAGCATTCAAGGCAGGTATAAGCACTGAACATAATGACATTGTCAAAATGTCTTCCGTTCAAGTATTGATTAACTTGTCAAATAAATGTACATTTTACTTGGTGAACAGTTTAAGTGGGAAGTGATATAATTATGAGAACTGCTGAGATTGCTTTGGTACAAAATACTTTGCTGAGCTAGTTTATGATTTAACAAAACTGATTGGGCGTGCCAGAGGCAGCAGCCAATCAATGATTCTCTCTCATCATTGATGTTTCTATGTCTCCTCCTCTCCCCTCCTCTCTGAAATAAGATAAAATATATTTTAAAAAATAAATAAAAAGAGTCACATGAGAAAAAAAGGGGTTTAAAAAAAATAGTCAAATCTATTGGTGTTTCATAAAGCCCAGGGGAGTTGGCACCAAAATAAATTGTACTTGGGCTTCCCAACCAAACATGATACAGGAGAAATTTGGTGAAAATGAGTAAAACCTGATAACACTGTGTCTGGAACTAAATTAAATCTTGATTGCTACATTAAAAAATTAATTAATTAAAATAAAAATAAATAAAAGGCAAAAATGCACTTTTTAAAAAATCCTCACCCAAGGATATTGATTTTTAGAGAAAGGGAAAGATAGAGAGAAATATCAATGTGAGAGAAACACATCAATTGATTGCCTCCTGCACAAGCAGGGCCCAGGCTAGGGAAGAGCCTGCAACCGAGGTACCTGCCATTGACCAGAATTGAACCTGGGACCCTTCGGTCTGCAGGCTGATGCTCTAGCCACTGAGCCAAACTAGGGTGATTTTTTTTTAAACTCGTAAAGCAAAGCTCCCAATTCTCAGGACATAGAGAGTCTCATAGGTTTCCATTCTTCTGGCTATCTCTCTGGCTTACATTCATTTATTAAAAAAATATTTACTGACCTTTCCCCAAAAAAATTATTTACTGAGAATCTGTTATGTGCCAGGCTCTGTGCAATGTACAGGGGATGGCACAGGAAGCAAAAGCAAGCACAGTCTGCTCTCGTGGAGCTTCTGCAGGGAGAGAGCATTCAACGAAATAAACATGAAGGGTAACTTGTGATTCACGTTAGGAAGAAACAGCACCAGGTACCCCAAAGCTGCATCACAAGTTACATTGATCTGATTTGAGTGTCAGGAAAACTTCCCTGAGGAGGCAATGTTTGTACTGAGGTCTAACAAAGTCATATAAGTTAATTGAAGGGTGGAAGTAGAATTAGGGAGCAGAAGCATTTCAGGTAATATAAACATCAGACTAGTGCAGGGGTGGGCAACCTTTTTGTGAGTGTGTGCCAAAACCAGCAAAATCTCTGACTCAAAATTCTTCTGAGTGCCAACCCTAATTTTTTGAGAACATGTTATACCTACTTGATATCTCTTAAGGTGTACGTATGTGAAAAACCTTGAAAAAATAATAAAATTCATTCGAGCGACAAAAACACAGTATATGATGATGAAACATCTCCCACTGGGGATGTGCCCGCAACCCAAGAACATGCCCTTGACCGGAATCGAACCCAGGGCCCTTCAGTCCGCAGGCCGACGCTCCATCCACCGAGGCAGACCGGTTTCGGCGAAAAATACATTTATTTTTTAATGTGTACATGTACACTGATAGTCCGACAGAAAACTTTATGACTCCGTTTGATATTATCAGTGGGACTCGCTGCTGCATCCCTGATGACAGAGATTTTACCTCAGGTTTATATTTTGTGACCTTCAGAGAGATGCACGAGCTACTACTTTCATCCGTCAGGCTACTCCTATTACGAAACTTAACAAAATTCATCACTGAGAACAAAGATTCACAATTGTAAATGGAAGATTATAAGAGAGGGTTTCACGTGCCAGCAAAAGTTACTGGCATGCCGTGTTTGGCATGCGTGCCAGGGGTTGCCCACCCATGGACTAGTGTCTTGTGGTGGAAAGCTGTGTGAGGAGTTTGAGGAAACGGAAGAAGAGCGGGATGGTTGCACCTAGAGAGCAAGAGGAAGGGTGGAGAGAGAGGTCAGGGAAAGTGGAACAAGCATGACATTGAAGGCCATGGCTTCAAAGGTGTCACATAACAGACACCATGAAAGAGCTTTCATCAGGGCACGTTAATTCTCCTACTCAAAACTCACTGTACTTTCAGTTCAACCTAAAACTTGTCTTTAAAAGTTTATTAATTTTTTTAATGACGGAGAATGCAACGAATGGGATGTTAGATTATCCACTTGTTCCTCATCCCCCTAAATCCACTCTTCGACCTTCTCCACCCTGCATGACGGCTGATTCCTGTTGACCACATAACCCGGGGCCTTCGCCCTCTGGTTGCCCACTGGGACCTGCCCATGGGAGACATCTGCTGACCAAGGGGAGGAGATCCTCTCCCTATTGAATTACCCTGCGTTGCTATTTGCCTCCGCCAAAGGCCCTCTCCCTGCACCTAGGGGCACTTATTCTAGGTCCTGATAACTGTTCCCTCTCTTTGCCCCTTCAGGCATATGGGTGACAAGAGAAAAGTTTTGAAATGGATTAAATTAAATTACAGCAGGTAGAGGAACAAGGAAGAAGAGACAAGGAGTTCGTCAACAGAGTGAAGATGCTTCAACATCCTTGTGGGTAAAGTGAAGATAGCAATACACCCACCACAGAATGCTGCAAAGCTGAAATTAGGCAATGGATGTTTACTGCCTGACTCAGAGAAGAGGATGTTTAGTGCCTGACTCAAAAACCGGAAACATTTCTTCTCAGGCCTTGGAGAGGGGGTAAAAGAAAGCAGATACAGAGATAGGCGGGGACTGCCTTGCTCGCTGTGGGAGAAGTGTAGAAGAAACCTGTTAGGATTGGGGAAGAAACTGATTAAAAAGGAAGTCAGGCCTGGCCACTGTGGCTCAGTGGTTGAGCATCGACCTACGAACCAGGAGGTCATGGTTCATTTTCCAGTCAGGGCACATGCCCGGGTTGCAGGCTCGATCTCCAGTGTGGGGCATGGAGGAGGCAGCCAATCAATGATTCTCTCTCATCATTGATGTATCTATCTATCTATCTATCTCTCCCTCTCCCTTCCCCTCTGCAATCAATAAAAACATTTAAAATAAATAACTAAATAAATAAAGGCAGGAAGGAAGGAAGTCTGTCTGCTGCTTCCATCTCCAGAAAACCAAGGCCACTTCCTCTGATGAAATCATGCCCGCCCACTCCCACAGTCTACTCAGTAAGTTGATGGCAACCTCCTTCTGGGGAGGCAATGGGCAGAGCCTCCTGTGAGTCACCAAAGGTCCCAGTTCCCAACGTCTCACCCGTGTTCACCACGTCACAGGCTGGCAGTGCCCTCCAGTAGGGATGGTCCCAGGACTGTCCCTGGGGTGACCCATTACTGCTCTGAGCCTTAAGCCCCTCTGTCCAGGGAAGACTCTGGATTAGCCAGGGCTCCCACAGCGGTGGATGGGACCATCTAAGGAGCATTATAAAAATACAGCCTCCTGCGGCTCACCCCAGAGCTCTGCACTCTGGTGCTGAGGCCTAGAGACTCTGTGGTGCAGCCAGGTAGAAGCATCCAGAAGGCTCTGTGGACTCACCAAGAGCGGAGTTCCAGTCCTGGACCCATCACTTGAGAGTCACGGACTTGGGCACACCCTCTCTGAGCCTTGGTTGTCTCATATGTGAAGGGTGAGAACAGAGGGCCCTGCAGATCCACACTTGATTTCTGTGGGCAAAGGCATGGCCTCCAGAAAGCCACTCTCTGGGGAGATGGAAGTGTCAGACCACACTCACCTCTTATCCCAGCGCGGGTGTGAGATGCAGAGGGAACAGAATGGGGCCTGTGGGTCTTGTTTCTGCCTGTGAACTACAGGGGAGGGCGAGGGGCCAAGAGCCAGCTGGATGCACCTGGGGTGGGGCTGGGGCTGGGGCTGGGGGCATCTCCACCAGCGCCTCCCTCCTCCTGTTCCAGGGGCTGTAGCTGGACAGACTCCTGGCTGCCTTTCCTCCCTTGAAAGAGCCTGGGCTGGTCCTGCTGCTGCCCCTCCCCTGCAATGAGAGAAACAGAGGCTGAGAGGCACTCAGAGCAGCAGAGAAAAGGAGAGCGAGTGAGAGACAGAGACGGGACTGGCTCCTAAGGAGATGGGAAAGCCCCTGGCAGAGACAGGGCGTTGAGGTGGGAGGAGAGGTCCCAGGCAGCCCTGGTCAGGACCACACTCATCAGCATGAAGATGGGGCCCGGGGGGCCGAGATCATGGCTCTTGGTCACTGACCACAGGGGAAGCTCTTTGGCAATATCAGAAAAGAAGAAGCCAGATTATAAACGGAAGTGCTGCCCATCCTGGGCAGGCATGTTTGGGGAGGGCTCCCACCCTCCAGTCCTCGGAAGGAGCCTGGTCCTGCCTCTCCGGGGGTCAGATTAGCCTGAGGCAGCCCCTCCACAGAGCCTCCCCTCTGGCCTAGAGGCTCTGCTTGTTCTCTCATCCTCCGAGGAGAGCGAGGAGAGCGAGGCGATGGGCCTGCCCCTGCTGCCCCCTGCTGCGCTGCCCCTGCTGCCGCCAGCAGCTCTGCAGGCTGGTGAGTGGCCAGGACCCCCTGGCTCTGACCAGGGCCCCGGGGGAGCCCCAGGGAGGGGCTGTGGCCAGCCAGGCTTCCCACCTGCCACAAGCAGTGGGCTGGGCTGGGCCACAGTGCTGGGTCCCCCCCATTCCTCACCCTCCTTTCTACCCTCCCTGGAGAGGGGGCGCCCAGGCAG